ATCCATTTAGCTAATTTATGATTTTTCGCTATTAATCAATATCCTTTTATCAGTAGCGCATTTAACTATGATAATTTCCATTTTGTTGTTCTTTCAATAAATTTACGAACTCAAATAGTTGTCTTTTTGTGTCAATGACCCAAAAGCTTATATTTTCGATTTTTTGACTCATAACTTCTTCAATGATTCGTTCTTCTGTTTCTTCCTCCTCTTTGTATTCTTTCATAGTCTGATATTCCCGTTGGGACCACTTAACTTCGGATTCTTTTAACCATTTTGGTTCATATTTCTTCAATTTTTCCGGAGGACGCCTTTTTGTAGTTTGTAGCAATCTTCATAGGGTTATGCTCACTTGGAATATATCGGAATAAAATTTTTACTTTCCGTATTTCTATCATTCCCGTATGAATCATGATAACAATTTTGAATGATTTTAGATTTCTCAATATATCTCACATTTCGAATTCGTTCATAGAATTATTGGAGAATGTTTTATTTTAATCGCTGCATAACGAGCCTTACTAGTATATCAGTAAGTATCGGAAGCATTTCCAATCAAGATATATTCATTCCTTTAATTGGAGCTAGATTTGACTTTTCAGTCTTTATAGCATTGTTGTTTAAAAGCATATGTCGCTGCTGTTGAATGTACTGCATTTGAAACATCAATAAAGGCATGACTTCGCATCCATTCTGTTTTCTTTTTTTTTTTTTTCTGTTACTCGTTATAATACTTCGATAACATCCGTTAATCATTTCTTAGTCAGAGATTTCTATATTATCTTATCATCTTTGTTTAGGATTTGATCCCAAGTATTATTATTCTTGATGAAATAGTATCATTCCATGGTGTCTTTTACCATCTATCCAAGTAATGTCGAGAATTTTCGTTACGTCTACTAATGATTTGGTTTTGTTCGATTATTTGTTATTGAAGCTTTCGTCGTTGGGGAAAAAAAAAGTAGTTATCTTGAAAATGTTCTTCTTCACTTCATAGTATTTCTTCAATGTTTCTCTCATTTCTTTAGCTGTCCTGATCTCTATCGTAGTTTTACTGCCATCGGTTTCCAAATGATGATTAGTGTCGACAATAGTAGGATTCTTTTAAAGCGACAGCACCTTATACTCTTTTTAGTGACTGGTTTCTTAATATTCCTTATCCAGAGAAATCTGATACAACACCTGTCAGTGGGAGATAATTCTATTTGTTTAAAAATGCCCTCTCCACCTCTGCTTTATTCACACTTTTTTTTTTTGAGAAGCGAGGACTACTCCAGTATTTTTGTTTTTTCAGAAGCGTAAGAGTATCTCGACTAAATTAGGAAGCATTACAAATCCCCCGGTACAGAATATCTTTAGATTTTTCGTGCATTTGAGATGTACCGAAGCATCATGAAAAATTCTCAGCGTTGTCGTTTTATGTGGGGATATAACCTGGCAAATAGTGAGTGACACCTTCTTGATCTATTCCAAGATAAACTTCTTCGATGATCTCCGACTTCAACTAATCTTGAATAATTCCGTGATACTGTTGAAATAAGACTTCATTATTCTGGAATTTTTGATTAATGTCTTGAGACAGAAACATAGTCTATAATGACTTTTTTAATTTGTCCACTGATACTTTCTCCGGCCATCTGACTTGATATTTTGCTTTCCGTTTAATAATGTTCCTTTTGAATTGTTTTAGAAAACGACGTCGTCATTTTCATTAGATATCCTAATGCCTATGATTCCAGCTTCTAAAATTGATCAATGTTATAATTATAGTCACTTTACAACAGCCTCGACTGATATTACCTTCAGAGCATTACTCACATATCCAGTTCCTTTAGCTTTTGTCTGGAACAGGAAAAATTCTGATTTTGCTTGATCCGATAAATTTGCCCAAATAATCGGTACCGATAAGTACAATGCTTTCCAATAAGTTGTTTCCAAATAGGTTGTTCCAATAAATTTTTTACCCATCTAATTGATCACATTTCGTCAGATGACATATCCATTTGGTTTATCTCCCACCCCTTGCATTTCATTAGGTAATTCCCGAAGTGTTCTTTACAAATGATATTTTCTTTCGCTGATCTCTTTATGCCAATCTTCGCCTTTTCTTTGAGTTTTTTTTTTTGTAATTTTTTGCTGAATGAAACTATGCTTATTTCCTCCTTCATAGTTTCTTGCGGATTGAGTTGGTTTGCCAACTTTTTTGAAACGAATGACAATTGCGCACTTTGGTCAAATTGCACCAACGCCTCTGTCTCTATCTCCGGAACTTTCGCATTGACTATACTAATTCTTTACACACTCCTCCTGGATCACTTTGATCAACCACTAAATTAGTTGTGCTCATTGGTTCCATCAATTTCCTTGCTTATTTTGTCCATTTAAATAACGCCCTCTATAGCAGAGCGATGATAATATATGGAGATTTACAGTGGAAATATTGTAATAATTTTCATTCCGTAGTTATTAACGGTGGTTTGATCTCATACATTTTGGGTATGCTTTAGTTACACTGAAATGGCCGATTTGTTGTTTCAAGGTCTAACCTTCAAAAATTATCCAATGGTTTTTTGTCATCCCAATGATTCTTATTACGGAGGACACCAGACCTTCGGTTTCTCAAAATTTGGTCTCTGTTCAACCTCGTCCTATCGACTGCTGTTTTTGAGTTATCACCACTTGATTTAACTACAACTAAAGTCGAAGTTTCATTCTTGAACTGTTCTATTCATGGTGGATCGAGTTTGTTCTTTCTCGAATTCACTAACGGAAGTTTGATCTTGAGTTATTTCTTCCAACTTCATTAACTCTCTTAGGTATTATCTCAGTCTGCTCATCGACAAAGACTTATCCGTTAATCTTCGTTCATCTACTTTAATGAGGATATCCTCCGGTTTGTTTCAATAATCACCTGTGAGATCGTATATTTCAGATTCTTCCTTAATGCTTGCAGTTGTTTGATTTATCTTTCAATACTTTCAATTGTTGTTTTCCATTCACGATTTTATTTTCAGATTCAGGAAAGATCATTCTATTCAGACATGTAACAGCACATACATGTGTCACTATATTTCTCTATCTTTTGAATACCATTGTATTTCTTTGGCGCGATCTCATACCCACTAACTGCTTATAATGCTTCATTTCCAAAGCGACAAATAATATAATTCAATTTCTAAATGTTCAGTATATACTAGTTGTGCATCACTGCCTTTAAGCCGTTCCAAAGTGCTTATCAGTGTCGAGGATTTCCGCTAAACACTGATAATTGTAATTAAGGCAGTTTGATTATCGCTTCTTGTTCTCACAGTTGTTTCCGGATTACTTTTTGATCTGAGATTAATCAAATCAAACTCTATAAATGTTGCATTTTATCTTCTGAATCATCCTTATATTTATTTAGAATTGGCACTGTTTCCATTCATTGTTCTATCAGTTTTAATACTCCTTGATTATCTTTTGTCAGTTCTCCGCACTTCATGTTTCCTTCCATTCTGTCATTGACGGAAGACCGCTCGAATGAAGGAAGTCCTTCCATTCTTTGTTAAAATATTCTAGCCACTTCAACATGTGCTTCGACTTTCCCATCATTTCCTTGATAATGATATTCTCTTCGTGCATCATAATGTTTATACAGTGTTAGTCGAATGGTCTTAAATCCAATTCTTTCATTTCGTTGAGAGCTTCTCTTTCGTCGGATTTGCGCTCTATATTACCATAAATGATATCCCGGCTCAAGACACTAATAATTTTGACGATAAAGCTATATTTTCAAATCAGCGATAGAGGTCGTTTGTCGGTGATAGAAATTTATTGGGGGTGATCAATTTTGACAAACAAATCCTTGTCGTTGTCATCAATAATAGTTGATTGTCCTTTTGTTAATAGGTTTGAGATATAAGGGGTCATCCTTCGTCGAGCTGGTAGATATGCTGCAGGAAATGCATTAAATTTAATGGGAGCAAAGAAGAGATAGTGTAATTGGCGATCGAAGTACGGCAGATAAGCGTAAAGGACCGTATAGTGCGTGTCTCATTGCAAAAAAAAAAAACTATGTGGGATTTTTTCCATAAATATATATAGGGTTGCGGACAAAGCTTTGAAACTCTACTTGGAATTATCATGGAGATTAAGTTGACCTTTAGCATGGTTCATGATTGTCAATCATTTCCACAACTGTAGTCGTGCTTAAATACCAGAATCCCGTTTGTGACATCCCCCTTCCCTCTCCCACGTATTGTCAGCTTATATTCTCATCGCCTTCTTCGTCGTCTTAATTTTACTCACGGGATTTCACCACCTTGTCCTGTTGATTCTCTCCCCCCTTTTTTGTTACTTGTTCTATAATACTGTACTAGTTTTATTTTGACGTTAATTTTAATAATCCAATATCATTATGGTATATAACAAATGATTGGATGAATAAGGTTATCATAAACTACATCATACTATAATTTTTCGTTGTTGTTCTTTTTCAGTTGCCATATTAGGAAATGTTTAATTCTTTCTTTAGGAAAATAAATACAAATAATAGTGATAACATTGTGTAGTTTTGAGGACTTTGTATATTATTTAAGAGAAAAAAAAACAACTTTCCAATTAATTGATAATGGGGTCGAAAAATTGCTATGCAATTAATTGCCGGTGATAACATTAATTTTGCTAAGTGAAATTTTTGGCGCAATGATTAAAATTAGTAAATCTGTAGATACATCAATGTGACAACAATTCAAGCGTTGAATTTTAATTGTCAGTTTCATACTAATTTCAATGTCAAGTTTTTAGTTTCGTATTTTAATATGAAATTGACAATTAAAATTCAGCGCTTGAAATTATGGCACTGAGGTATCTATAAGTTTATTAATATGGAAATTATGAGTTAAATGTTAATGTGGTGAGCTTTGCTTCAATAAGTAAAAAAAAAAAATTATAAAGGTTTAGAAAAACTTAATGTACCCTAATTTTAAGGAAAGGAATAGTTCTTATTTAAGTTCCTTTTTTTTTCTTTATTATTGTTTCATTTGCTATGCATAGGAAAAGGCAAATAGTAATATGCTAATTAATAAATAGATTAGCCGGCAGATAGATGGATAGATGCAAAGATCAATTTAATCAACAAACAAGTAAATCAAATGAGCGTAAAAGTTTTTATTGTTTCTTCTATGAAAACTCGTCATTTTGCTTCTTTTATTGTTTGCTTTGTAAAAACTTATTGTTTCCTTTTTTTTTCTTTCATTATTTGTTCTATAAACAATTCATTATTTTGTTGTTATTTGCGGGAAATACCAACATCTATCATCTATGTACAAATGATCAGTAGTTCTGATTTGTCAACATTTTTGTCACGAATTCTCTATTGTGCCATCCAATGCAATTAAACAACCAACGAACCAAATCAACCCATCAACAAACTGTCATGATTGACAGAAAGAGGTAGCTCTGTTAAGCGATTTAGTCGCACAGTGACATTGGTGACAAAACCGCGATCATTAATCGCTACCATTGTTGCTATTCCTACCATTATCATTACTACTGTTACTACTACTACTACTACTACTCCCAACCACTACTACTGCTATACTCCTGCTACTACTAACCACCACTACTACTATTACTATTAACACTGCTACTGCTACTACTGCTGCTATACTACTACTACTACTACTACTACTATTACTATTACTACTACTACCACTACAGTTACTATTACTATTACTAATACTACCACTACCTACTACCGCCACCGTATATTACCTCTGTGAAATATTGGTAATAGTAGGTATAAAAGAGGAAAATTTTTAATAGTGAAAAAAAGAAAAACAGGAATACCTGAAAACCTGAGACCTGAGACCTACCACGAAGTTTGTGATATATTTGATTATTTGGGATAAAGAATGAATTGATTTGGAAGAGAAACTACACCAGTAATATGCTAACACAATTTAATTATTTAGGATAAGGAATGAATTGATTGGGAGAGAAATTATATTAATAATGTACTAAGAAAATGTTTATAAATGAATTTGGAAAGAAAACCGAAATTTTGATGATAAAAAATTTGGTAGAGAATTTTTCTTTTATAATTAAGTAAATAAGTAATAAGTTTTAAACCAACTTTGAAAGATTATTTTTTTGGCTTTTTTTTTCCAAAAACCAAAAAAAAGGCATTTTAGTAAGAAATATATTAGTTAAAAAGTATCTATCACTGTGTATATAAGCGAAAAAATATCTATTATAAAGTACTAAACATCTATTTATTAGTTTTATTGGTTTTAATAGCTATTTTGATGAATAAACCAAATAAACCATATTAATTTTTTTTTTAGAATTTTCTTTTTTGATTGAAAATTTGATCATTGAAAATTAAATAAGGCAATTTAATTAGACAAATCAAATAAGATATTTAATTATGAAAAAAAAAACCCTTCAAGTTGTATTTGTTTTGTTATTTCACAATCCTTCGAATGCAATAATTCAATAAATTGACCAGAAAGACGATTATAATGTTCCCTGACGAAACGTTTCATTAATTTTGAACCAATAAACAGCACAAAGTTAAGGAACAATCGAATTACTAACATTTGAAATTTACTTTTTTCAGGTTAACGAAGAGAGAGAGAGAAAAAAAGAAGCAGCTCTTCCATTACTGATCTTTTATTGTAAAATTATTTGCTGAATCATCACGGATTTTTTACGTCAAGTTATTGCAATCGTTACAATCTGACGATTAATAATGGCATTTCAAGGGTATTCAATTTATTATTTTGATTCAATCATTTAATTTAATTATGATTGAATTCTATACTCATATTATATGCTTTTATTTTAAAAAAAAAGGATTAAAAAATTAAAAATAGAAGATGGTATTATTGATTTTTTTCTTTTAAGTCTTGTTTCCCACGGCTTTTTTCTATTTTAAATTATTTTATATTAAAATTTGCTTTATTATAAAATTGTAGGAAAAAGAAAGAGAAAGATTCACTCATTAACATCACAAATATCACATTAATTGAGTAAAATATGTGAGTAGGTAAATATGCAATATGTCATCTCCTCGATTTGTAAACAATATAAAAATTGATATATTTGATATATGTTTAATCCTAAATATAGATGTATGTAGCTTGAAAATAATCTCTTACGTGACCTTAATAAATCATTCATCATCTCTTACGTGACCCGAATAAATCATTCATCATCTCTTACGTGACCCGAATAAATCATTCATCATCTCTTACGTGACCTGAATAAACCATTCATCATCTCTTACGTGACCTGAATAAACTATCTATCGTCTTTGCTATTTTCATCCACATTAATTTAAGGTTTTTTTCTCTTTTAATTTGACCACATAATTACACACTTCTTCCGAGATTCTGGTTTGTTGTGAATGAATAAGACAAATGATCGCTTAATTGTCTAACTAATTACTTAATCTCAGTTGAATTGTTTTGTTTAGGAAAATTGTTTAATTAATCTTGACATAATGAAATTTGTGACACAGCAATGAGTGTAATGAGAAGAAAAGTACAATGACGAAATAGAAAAAGAATTTCAAAAAATAGCAAATTTTCTTAACTTATCTAAATAATTTGCTAATAAAATAGTCATATTTTAATGATTGGCAACAAAAAGATAATGAAAATAGATGAATCATTCCAATAATTATTTGAACAAATTTAAATGCTACCACAAAAATATAAATAAAGTACCAATGGCATATCGCTATGAACATTGAAATGGGAAAAGAAAAAAATGAAAAAACTAATTGGATTTTTATCAACATGTAAATTATGAATCATAGCAATTAAAAAGTTGTAAAATTTGAACCAATCATGCATTCATCAATTTCACTTATCAACTTCCTTCGGTTAAATATTCAATGAAACAAACAATGAATCATCATTTTGTTAAACGAAATGAAATTGCTTAAAATTCTTCGAAATTTTACGATGAATCAGTTTTCAGTAATTGCATTCGTACAATTTTCTCATTTTCTTTTTTTTTTTCCCCTCATCACCCCTTTTTCTTTAATTTTTATTTTGTTATTTTTGCCGCTTTTTTTTTTCTTGAAATTGTTTGATCATTTAAAATGAACGAATAGTATTGTTTGATCAGAATAGCTGAATTTTTTTTTTTCTATTCACGAAACGTAAAAATGTATTCCTGTTGTTATTAATTTTAGGACAAATGTTTTATGTAATGTTTTCCGCCAAATCACAGCTGCACAAACTTCGCCATTTCATTTCAAACCCTCCTTCTCCTTCCCTTCTTACTTTATTTTATTTCATTTCATTTATTTTCATTCAAAATATTTGATTTTAATCTTCTTACTTTTTTTTCAATTTCATTTCTATTCTTCATTTAATTCCGTATAAATCATTTTCCACTTTTAAGCAATTGAATTTTTCATTTCATGATCTTCTTTTAATTAATTTTAAACTGTAATTTTTTTCTCGTTAAAATAACTATTTATTTCATCCATAGTTCTATTCTACAATTTATGCAACTATTTTCATTTATTTTTACTCCTCTTTTCTTTTTTTTTTTCCAAATTCTATCGATATGTTTCAAAAATCGAACAAGTTTGTTTTATTTGCTTCAATTATGGATTATAAATGATAGATATAATGTAAAAGTTAATGAAATTTTAATAAAATATTATATATGAAAAAGTATAAAATGAAAAATGATCATAATTAAAAACCGAATTAAAATCGTAATTACTTAGCTTTTTTCCCACCAATAATTTTTCTAATTTTCTTTAATTTCTAGCTTTTTTCATTTATTAAACTAACTTTTGTTAAAAATATTGCACAGATTTAATAAATATAGCAATTATCGATGTTTTATTTTATTGTACTTTTTGTTTACTTTCGAATTTTTTAATTTACAATGTGATGTGAATTGTACGGTCACATTTATCACATTATTACAGTACACTAGTTTTTAAAGTAATTTAATTTTGGAATTGCAATTTAAAGTAATTAAAAAGTAATGCAATAATTTCTTTTGAATAATAATCTGAAGCAATGTTTCACTTTTTTTTTCTTTGGAAATTAAAATTTGTCCTCTGTATTGTCGTTTTATTAATTATAAAATTAATATTTATAATTCATCCTGATATTTCTTTTGCATTTACATTCCCATCTATCAAAAAATACTTTTTTTTGCAATTTCTAGTGAATTAAAAGAAAACAAATGCTTAATTGAATAAATGAATGATATTAATTATTGGATATTTAATGAGCAGTTTGAATTTCAAGTGAATTGATTTGAAGTGATACAATGAGAATTTCTATTTTCTTCTTTTTTATTTTTCTCTTTTTCTTTTTTTTAAACAATCATTTTTCATCTTAATTTTATGAATGAAATGAATATCTGTGTATTTGTATTGCCAAATAATTGTCCTTCATCTTAGAAAACCAGTTTTGTAATTTCTAACTTTTCGTTTTCTCTTTTTCTTTTCCCTAAAATCTTTCCAATGAATACTTTTATTATTCTTTACAAAAAAGATTTTTTTTTCTCCTATGTTAAAACTGCATTCATTGTGTTAAATAAAATGAGAAAATATTTATTTATTTTTTGATTTGAATCAATCGATAGTTTTTTCCTTCAATTAACTAAAATCATATTCATTCCATAAAAGAATTTTAAAAAGTGAAAAGCATCCTCAAATCAATCGTTTGAAAGCAAATATTTTTTTTTTTTAAACGATTTGGAGCAAATCATAAAGTTTATTATGTCACTCATTTATCAAATGTTACCTGAGAGAGCGAAGCATATAGATTTAAATAACATTTCGTATTTAATATTTTAAATCTGAATACTGTTTTGAAATCAATTCATTGTCAGTTATTTATTTTCAGCAAATTATTCCTGTAATATTTTCAAATTTATAAATTAATCACAAATAAAAACATTGTTTTTCAATATTTTCATGGTATGTGATATCGAAACAATTATGAATTGGCAAATAAATGAGTTAAATATATTTAAAAAAAAAACTTTGAAGCAACATTAAAACTCTTAAAAATTTAAGAAAAAATAAGGTAAATTAACGTAAAAAATAACTTAAGGGATTTGAGGTGAAAAAAAAGAATTATTCATTTGTTGACTTTTGAAATTACTTTATTTTTTTCTTTTTACCTTTTTATAGCAGCATCGTTCTCCTTGCTTGACACATTCGTTTTTCTCATCTCTTAGAGTTAAATTTAAAGTTGGACTCAATTAATGATGTTAATTAGTGGAAGAACAGTGAAAATGGTTTCAAAAAGATGAAAAAAACTTTATTTGGAATAAAATTATAATTAAAGAAAATTCGTGGTATAAAAATTCCAATTAAATTTTTGGAATAAAATTATAATTGTGGAAAATTCCCCGCGTCTGCGGCAAAATTATAAAATTATAATTTAAAATCAGAAAATGGCAATATTCAATTTATTAGGTGAATAAATTTGACAAAAATTTAATAAAATAATCAGATTTAAAAGTAATTTTCATTCAGTTTTTGTCCTGAACAAAGAACTGAAATGATGAAAAAAATATATAATATATATATATATATATGGATAGATTGAAATCGAAAATTATCCACTTAAACTTCTTCCCAGTCAAATATTCTACCTTTGGTAATTCTAATTACTAGTTATTGATTAGCATTAAATAGTGAATGCAATATTTCATTCAACAAAAAATGAGAAAACAGAAAATTTAATTAAGATTTGAAAATTTTACAGCTGACGTTTTCTTTTAAATGAAATTTCATAATAAACGTTAATTATAGAGCTATTTTTGTATAAATTATAAGCATTGGTAGATAATTAAGCTAACGTGGATTAATTCCATTTTTTACCTTTTTTTTTGCATAAATTTTATCTAATATTAACAATTTTTTAAAAAAAATTTTTGGGTGCTCAATTTATTCGTCAAAAAGAATCATCCATTCATGCCTTGAAATTATAATATTTCACTTCATTTTCTTTTTCCTTTCATATTTACATGTTTAATTTTGTCTTATTATAATTAAAACCTTGCATAATTGATCATCCTTATAAATTTCAATTAGATTTTTTAAACAATTTGGAACTATTTTATGGTAATTTCCAAAACTTTTTTTTCAAAATTTGATTTTTTGGGAAGAATTAGGAATATTTTCATTAATTTGATTAGTTTTTTTTTTTGTCCAAAAAAACAAATGAATTATTGATAAGTTAAACAATTTTCATCTGTTTTCACCTATTTTTTGATGAAGAAAAGAAAAACAAAACTTGATATTAGATGAGAAAGAAGAAACAGTGCTGATCATCTTCATCATCTTGCACTATTCGAATTTTTCTTATTTAAATTTACACTTTCTGAAATTAACCAAAATGAGTCATAAAAGTTTGTAATAGCAACTTGTTATTACTTATATTTCAAATATTAGTCTATCCTTTGATACTTCCTGATTTGAAAGTAATTAATTTTTGTCGCATCTATTTGCTGATATTTGAATTTTATTAAGAACGTTATTTAAATTTTCAGTTATGTTTGAAGAATTAATCCATTTTTGTATGCTTTTCTTTTTCGAGTAATTAATCTTTTTGTTCTATTCGTTATTTTAAGTTCTAATTTATACTAAATATTATTAATGATGATTTATATTTTAGAAATTTTCGTATTGTTCGACCAGTAAATTCATCATCATCATCATCATCAGCTAACCATTTGTTTGACATAGAGCAAGACGGTTACGCAAAATCATCATTCACATCAGACAGTAATGAATTCTAGTAATACTCGTACTGTTCCGGTACAATTAATTAGGAAGACATCGGTTGATGATTTTAATGAACGAATGATCGGAATGTTGGATCAAGTGGAAAAACGGGTGGAACAGCTAAGGTTACTTTTCATTTATTAATCGAAAT